AAATAAAATAAGAAAGCTACCGTGGTGTGTGGAAAACCTTTAGTGAACCGACACTCTCGGCAATTTTAACTATTGTAATTATTTTAATTAACTGGAACGTGGCTATTTTTAACAAAGTGAAGTTTTGTGTGTTGGTGATTTCTTTTTCTACTATAAATGCCTCTGATGATGGCTCCGTGGTGAGCCGAAACATGTAAGGCAGGTGGTGACGAGGTGGAAAACTTATAAAAGTGTCACATTTGACGGAAGGAACTTGATTGTTGACTACAGACGGGTTTTGGATTTATGATCAAATTTATTGGACTCTTTTGATACAGCGCGTGACTACACCTTAAAATTCCCTATTACACACAGTGTCCACAGTCACATCTTCACTAGCAGTTGCTCAATAATGGCTTTCAATTGCAGAAGTTCCCGTTCCTCTGGATTCCCAAACTATTCCCAGCCTTAGCTACAAGCAGCTCACAACTTTACCTCAGCAGTTCTCTGACTCACTGACTCAGTCACTCACCAACCAACTCACAACTCAACTGAATGAACTAACTCCTCACTAACTGTCCTGCTTATAACATATTGGCATGGACAACATAGAAAACACCATTCCTGTTGCTTTTAATCGTTTCTTGCATCCTGTTGTGTGTTTAATCAATAGTAGAGTGAATTTACCGACTACACAACACGTTTTTTATCACATTATCACTACATGTTTCGACCTCAAGAGGTCATCTTCAGGTATATGAACATGGCTGTATAATTACACGCAGTCACATTCACTTTTCACTCATTCGACCTTGTATCTTTTCCAGACTTACGCTCACTAATATATTGAGTTCTTTTTATAAAACACAGGTTAAAATTATTATTATTCTAATTTAATTGTTAATTGTTAAAAGTTCATGAATCAAGGTTCAAAGTTAAAAGTTCGTGAATCAAGCTTCAATTCATGTCATAAGTGACAATAATAATTTTAACCTGTGTTTTATAAAAGAACTCGATATATTAGTGAGCGTAAGTCTGGAAAAGCTACAAGGTCAAATGAGTGGAAAGTGAATGTGACCGCGTGTAATTATACAGCCGTGTTCATACACCTGAAGATGACCTCTTGAGGTCGAAACATGTAGTGACAATGTGATAAAAAACATGTTGTGTAGTCAGGAAATTCACTCTCCTATTCCTGTTGCTGTTTACAGGCCATTGCCAAGTAACAGCCATTGTCTGTTTGTTTCATGGATGTTACCTAGCAAAAAGTCTATATGCCACAATATGTACAGGGGAGTGGAGGTATAGCTCCACCATTCTTGACATCAGCACTAGATGGTGGTCAGTGGTGAGCTTCATGACCCAGCTGTTTTACTCCTGGGGAAATAGCACTTTGGACGCTGGGTGTGCCCCAGATTTTGTCTGGACACTGTGGATTACAGAAAATTCTCTTGCCCCTGTCATGAACTGAACCCTGGACTTTCAGCCTGTAACCTATCACTATTGCAACTGAGTTATCCTGGCTCCGATCTGAACTCGGCACTTTCCAATAATCAAGCTTATTCTGTGAACTTATGATGTATGGTCAATCTCAAAAATACAAACACTGCTACACATTTTCAACTCAAAGAGAGCAAATGTTATATTCAGCACAGGACTTTCAGAGGTTTTAGCTTTTGTTCTGGAAACAATGGAATTGCTAGTGAAACAAAGGCTTGAGAAATGCTACTCTCTGAGAATCTAACAAACTACCCAGCTCCATGGAGCCTCCAATCACTCAGCTAAAAGTTAAAAACAGTAGAAGTTTCTCAAGGAGTGGCATATGTGCACCATGAGAGTTGGCACACATTCATGTAAGAAGGAAACTGACACATCAAGGTAATGTATAAAACATTTTTATTTTTCATTAAAGAAAACACAGGTAATACTCGTAACGCAGAACAGACCGAATAAATTGGATGTTATGTAATTTTGTACAACTCTGTCACATCAACTGATATGGTCCTGTGGGCAACAGTGTTCCTGCATCATTGCATGCCCACACCCAGTCAGGTTTCACCACCAGTTGTTTGGACTGCACCTGTGAAGAGAGCATCTCTCATTAAGTCCCATAAACTAAACTGGAGAGCACACAGTTCTGTCCTGTCTTGCCTGTTTCACTGTGGCAATTTTAACACATGTACACCAAGCCTGTTCCTTCTCATTCTGTTAAGGACATGACTGGAGTAGCAATGTAGCTACCCTTAAGATGTAATTCATTGCTAAATTTTTATTTTTTTGGCATTTATATTTTAGTTATGTATTACTTTTATTTTTTTACTGTTATATCATGTAGTACTGCTGGCACAGTTTTCAGCTAGGTCTAGCATTTGTTAAATTACTGTCCATTAAATTGGTTTTATTATCACACCATTTTCTTTCCTCTAACTCAAATTAGTTGGTAGGAAGGGAGTAACTCAGCAACATGATCAGTATATCCTCATCTTTAGACACCTGGCCCATCTGGTCTCATGAGTATTGAGTAATGAACCCCATGGGGCCTGGCACCAAGAATAAACGTGGTGGCGAGGGCCAGCAGCAACTTACCCAACCCACCAACCACTCCATCGAGGGAACATCAAAACCTACAACTAAAACACATGTAATAAAGTGGTTCACCTGTGGCACATGTTCATTAAGCAGACAATCACATTCAAAATAAAAATCAAGACAATGGATAATCTCCAGCAAATTAATCACTGTATTAATATACCATTATCACAAATTTCTAGCTCACAGAACAGAGATCTTCAGTTCTGTATAATCAGAGGTGAGGGATCTCAGAAGGGCCTCAATCAAGCTGGTTCTGGCTCTAGCATTCATAGTAAGGGCTCTCTAGGGCCGCGCCATAGCTCAAGTGGTTAGTTGCTGGATTCCAACCGCAGTGGCCTTGGTTTGATACCAGGTCTGGTCAAGTGGGATTTGTGGTGGACAAAGTGACACGGGCAGGTTTTCTCCAAGTACTTCCGTTTCCCCTGTCAATCTTCATTCCACCAAATTCTCCATAATTCTCATAATCACCTGGGGCTGGCTACAATAGCCCAATCAGTGGCCACTGTGCCAAGTGGACCCAGTTCGACTCCAACCCCCCACTAAGTGAAAACAGGGATCTCTAAGGGGTTGCCAGCAGAGGGCCCAATAGATCCAGCAGCAGTCTGAGTACTTGTGGCAACTGGAAGTTGTCCCTCCTAAAGCACTACCAATATCAATATTTGGATTTCTCTGGTTCTCCCCCTGTACATGAACTTCACAATGTGGATGACATGTTTGGTATCCTGTGTTGTGTTCTGCTGTCTGTTTAATCCAGCTAAATCATTTTACACATACCTTCTTGTTTGAAATTACAAAGTCAACATGTTCACCATTCAACTGGTCCACTAATGACCTGAAACAAATACAACAGTTACACAAAGTCCAGGAGACACACAGTAAGGTACAAATGATAAACTTTCACATTTTCTGAAGCTGCAGGCCTCCTCTTCTTGTAAAACAATTTACAAATGCAAAATTCTGAACCAAGTATCTCTATAAAACAATGTCGCATGTGGAGTACAAAACAACTTCTATAATCCTGTACACATATTCCATGCACTGCCAATGATGGCTACTGTTCACATCACACCAACAATTTAAGCCTAAACATGTACTAATAAAATGAAAAACTCACATTTTACAGAACACACACAGCATATAGTAATAGCACATTCCCCACTGGGTAGGAAGCCGGATACTGCAGAGAAGAATTTCTTGCCTCTGTCAAGAATCAAACCCAACTTTCTCAGTCACCCACCCTACAGCCTACTCATTATAGCAAATGAGCTACCCCAGTTCCCTTGAAGGCTATGATGTATGTTAACAAGGCAATAACCACATGTTACATAGGACACATATAAATATAGGAAAAACTTTACCCCCGGAAGGCTATAATGTATCTCTTTAGTTTGCTCCTGACAACTGCGCTCAGCTCCTCATGAAGATGGAAACATTTTCCATCAAAGAAGTCGTGTAACTGCGGCAAAGGCAAGTTGGCAGTAGCAGGAAGCTCTCCATCACTGTCCACATCCGTGTCCTCATCATATGGATTGACAGCCCTCACCCTGCCAACACAAGGTTCACACACTCCAACACTGCTGTAATGGACTTCTTCAGACTACAGAAACCTAGGAGGCTGAGTAGCCATATCATAACAAATAATTATAACATCTGAACATGTCCCATTGTTTCTCAACTGCATATGTTATATGATATCATATGGATGTGAATGAATTGGGAAAAATGTGGAAGGAACCAGTTGCCTATTTTAAGAAACCACTATGCAGTCATGTAAAAATTATATTCACAGAAAAATAATGAGCACAATAAATTCAAGGAATTCTTCATACCCCTTGGGTCAGAATCATGCTTTCTTGTCTGCTATCTAGAACAAATTAAAATATATAAAACTATAATTCTACCTGTTGTTTTTATATGGGTATGAAACTTGGTCTCTTAAATTAAGAGAACATAAACTGATAGTGTTTGAGAACATGGTCCTGAGAATATCTGGAGCTACGAAAGAGGATGTAATAGGAGGCTGGAGAGAGGTGCATAACGAGGAGCTTCATAATTTTAATTCCATGTTGAATATTATTAGGATGATCAAGAACAAGGAAGATTGGATGGGCAGAGCATGTAGCATGCATCAGATAGAAGAGAAATGCATATGAAGTTCTGCTGGCAATATCTGAAGGAGACAACTTTGAAGACCTAGACATAGACGGGAGAATAATATGAATGTATGGCAGGGTGTGGACTGTGTTCACACCATTCAGGACCAGGACCAGTGGTAGAATCCTTCTGGTCCCATAAAATACTGAGAATTTCTTGACTAGACAATTCCCTATTAACTTCTCAATAAGGATTCTACTCCATGGAGTTGGTTAGCTAGTTAGTATTTATGTTAAGAATTGAGAAAAACCACAGAGAACCTAAGTGACATTAGGAGCCTCTAGGCTGAGAACATAACCTGGTGCCTCTTAAATATTAAGCAGATATGTTAACGTCTGAACCATTATGTTTGGTAGTGTGACGTGTCGCGCTATGCAGGACACCAGCAGTCAGTTCTGAGTTCTCAATCTAGCCAGCGGAGAGTAATGAGTTAGCCAGCAACCAGTCAGTTGTATTCTGGCATTTGCAGTCTGGTATTTGTGATACTGCAGATAGCAGTAATTGTGAATCTGTAAATTGTGTGATTGTAAGAGCGAATGTGAAATAAAATTCGCTATATCCACTAAGGCGTGAAGTTATTTGTCATGTATACACTCAACATCAGACAGTATAAAAAATATAAAACCAATAATATGGTGTAATGGTTACTGTTTATCCTTCATACAGCAAGGTTACTGGGTTCCACCTCAGCCTGGCCACCAAATAACTATAAGACCTACATATTTCCTGCAGTTCCAGAAATTAACCTTGAAATCTGCCACAATTCCATTCCACATACTTCCCAATTCATCATCCTGCCATTTGATAAAAGAATACTGTTAAACAGCCCAGCTACTTGAAATAACAGTCAAAAAAAAAACCAACCTCTCGATCTCATCCTCTGTGTCAGACCCTGATTGAGGCCGCCCATCATCATCATCATCACCACTCAGTCCTCCAGTGTCTTGCTGACAGGGTGGGTCAGGAACATCTAAACAAACCCACATGACACGTGTCTATCAGTTGATATGAATCATGTCACACAAGTATTCTACAGTACCTGATACCACCCTTGTCCATCAAGTAGCCTCAGTATTTAAACATGTTACAATGATGATTTTAATCTACTGGGGAAAAAACACAAATTCCACAAAGAACAACACAGACATTCTATTACATGCCAGTAAGGGAGGTTGGTCTAGCAGTAAACAAAGAGAAAAGTAAGTATGCCGGTAAGTACATGTATCATTTGTAAATGTTGAAGAGTTAATATATATTGGAGCGGCACTAACATAACAGAACTGAAGAGTACAGTCTTCTAGGCTGCATTGCTGTGTAGTCCAGAGGAAGTCAAAAATTCAGTAGAACATATTGCCTCCATCCTCAGGGTCAAAGAGCACAGCAAACAAGAAACCAGCAGAAGCGGGCAGCAAGCAGGCTCAGAGCTGAGTCCAGTGGCAGGCTGATGTGAACCTTAAGATTCTTTAAAAGGCTCAGTGATTATCAGTACCCTGTTCGATGGAGTTACTGAGACTGAGTCCACTTGGTACTGCACCCACTACTGGCGTATTGTACCAGCCCCAGGTCATAGATGATGCTGATTGTGGAGCAATTGATGGAATGAGAACTGGCAGGGGAAACCAAAGTACTTGGAGAAAACCTGCCCCAATGCCACTTTGTCCACCACAAATCCCACACGATCAGATCCAGGCTCAAACCTGAGTCACCATGGTTAGAAGCTGGCAACTAACCACCTGAGCTATGACACGGCCATTCCATGGAGTTAGTCAGATGGTTCATGCCTCCTCCACATCCTGGCCAGCTCAAGACTACCATCTCTGATCTGCATTCTGAAATTCCCAATAATTAAATGAGCCAGCCAAGAGGGACTAGAGCACAATGGAAGCTCAGTTACACTGTAAATATCTAATGGAGACTGGACGTGTATGTACTTCATACATGTAGCCTACAGTGAAAATAATGCATATAGTAACGACTTTACATACATCACCGATTGGTGTGAGGAGACGGTGCAATATATGCCATAATACACTTTCAAGCAGTCCCCTCACTAAACCTCTGTACCCAAGCCTTGTCTCCCTCATATGCTATCTACATTCCCACCCCTTGCAGTCCCCTACTCACTACCCTAACAATATTATACCATGCTTGCTGTTGGTTTATTCCTGACATAAGCAATGCATTAAGTGGCCACCGTAGTCTAGGGGTAACATCCCCACCTCATGACTCAAGGTATGCGGGTTCAAACCCGGCGGAGGTCGTGGAATTTTTAAGGGTGGAAAAATTCAGTGAACAAGTCCTCCAGGAGGGACTTTAAGCCGTGTGTCCCATGTGATTTACGGCACGTAAAAGATCCTCATGTCTCTAGGAGACCTCTGAGCATAATTAGACAAGTTTCCCATCCAAGTAGTTTCCAATTCCTCCAGTAGATGCGGAAGTATTGGGGACCACTACCAGAGAGGGCTGACCTTGCTGGCAGAATGGGGCTGATAGCGAGCACCAGTACTGGAAGGGCGACTAGTTAGACTAATTAAAGGGGGGCGCACAATAGATCAATAAATGGTCACAACGCATGTGGAAACCCACCACCTCCAAATAATAAAAATAATAATAATAATAATAATAAGCAATGCATTTCTCTCCTTCACCTTATTAGTTCCCTAGCTCACACTAGTACAGTCAGTTTCAGAGTGTGGTGTGTCAGCCGGAGCATAAACATACCAGGCATAAGTTTAATCATATAAAAAGACTGAGTAGAACTAAACTGGTCTATAGGGAATGTTCCAGGTTTGTATTCAGAAGGTGCTTGGTTCAAATCGTGGCTGGATAGTCAATTACCCTATGGAATTTCCTTCTTTACCACAAGCCCTTTAAGCAAACAACAGAATATTACCTCATTCAGATCATGATCACATCCTTTCAAATCCTCTTCAATTCGTCAGTCATGCTATCATCCAATGCTACAGTCTCAATACCAAAAGCAACATTAAATAACACAGAAATGAGAAGCAAGGGTCGTGAGAAGAACAAGAATTAAAATTTTTAGGAAATAAACCTCTGGGACACCCCAGAATAAGCAGTCATGTCAGATACTGGAGAACATCAAGAAGACAGGAAATCATCATCATCAGTAATGTCAGACGACAGGTCCACAGTCTCTTCCAAAACAATTCCTCCACTTAATGTGATCTAGAGCTTTCTCCTTCAAATGACAGTATCCTATTCTGTCCCCAAGGTCATCCAGCATCTTCTTACGTCTTCTTCCTCGTCTTCTTGTCACTTCTATCCGCCCCTCTATCTTTCCTTCGATAACTTCTTTCTGAAGGCAGTTTCCGCGTAAAACGTGACCAATCCAATTAGCCTTCCATTTTCTTATTTCATGTAGGATATTCCTCTGCTCACTAACTCTAATTAACACTTCTTCATTTCTCACATAATCGGTCCAACTGATCTTCTCCATCCTTCTCCAACACCACATTTCAAAACTTTCCAGATGTTTCTGATCTACTGCCCTAAGTGTCCATGTTTCAGCCCCATACAGAGCTATGCTCCAAATGTAGCATTTCACTAGTTTCTTCCTCAAATTTAAGTCCAATTTGCTGGTAAAAAGATTCTTCTTCTTGCTAAATGCAGCTTTTGCCATGGCAATCCTGGATTTAATTTCACTAGTACACCTTCCATCATCTGTTAACAAGCTACCCAAATATTTAAAACATTTCACATTCTCCAGTTGTTTTTGGTCTATCTTTATTGTTACTGGGGTTGGTTGTCTCGAAATTTTAATTACTTTTGTTTTCTCCACATTCATTTCCACGCCATAGCATTCAATTAAGCTATCAATCATGCCCTGTAGCACAGTTTCTTCCTTAGCCATTAACACAAGGTCATCTCCATATTTCAGTTTGAATAATTTGCCCTCCTAATTTGAAGTCTCCGAGCCCATCCTGAGCTTCCTTGGTAAGGCATTCGCTGTACAAGTTGAACAGAATTGGTGATAAACAGCATCCTTGTCGAACTCCTCTTCCAATCTGCACACTTCTTGTCTCCCCTCTGTCTAACTTTCTGATCCATGTACAATTTGCTAATCAATCTTCTTTCACGCCAATCGATACCTGTTTCCTTTAGGATCTAAAAGGAAAAATTGTGAGAAGAAAAAGAGGGTGGAGACTTTCTGTTCAGTTTATACAAAATGGAAGCGATGCTGAATGAAGAATGTGGCCTACTAACCCTGCACCAGCTCTGGAATCTCATCCTCACTCTCCGGTTTGTTCTGGTCTCGTTTGTCAAGGGCAAACCTGAAAATTATGAGAACAATTGCAAAATATGAGACTAGTCATGCACTGCACAAAATCTTCCTTTGTTTCTTCACATTTAAACCATATCCTCCATATTCAAATATCCCACTACTGACTCTGGAGGCCAAATTTAAAATTGACAGTAATGAGACTTATAATGTAGAAAATGTGATGCTAGACCTCCCAGGGCCTGCTGAACAAGTGAAATGCTACCTCAGTCATGTGACACACACACAATTAGGGTTAACTTCAGGTTAGCATGTTTCACAAAAACATTGCGCCACAGCACAATGGAGTTATTCATGATCACACTACAACAATGTGTCTGGTCTAAAGCACAACCACAGCCATGACACACATCAACCTGCTGCTAGGCAATGATGCAATAAACGTGGCTTCACAATAATAGAGGAAATGGTGCTTTCTACGGGGTCTGACCCAAGGCTATATAATGAGAGTCTGTCTGTAGCTAGGGAGATTAGAGATTTGTAACTGAGAGTTCAGAAGTTGTTAAGAGAACTGGAATACAATGGCATACAATGGAGTGCAATAGAGAGTAAGAGAACTAAAATTGAGTCAATCTAGCCTGAGGTGCCAGCCTGCCAGGATATGAGATTTGGAGCAAATTAATCAAACTGAGGAATCGAGGCGTCAGAAGTACGGAGTGCAGTTCAGTTCAGATTTGAAAGACAGCCTGTGAAGGGAAGACTCTGTGTGTTCTGTAGTACAGTGATATCTGAGGCGTCAATGTTATAGCTCCTGTGTTAAAATCCGTTGGCAGGAAACCGATAGAGAAAACATTGTAAAGGAATATCCATTATTGAGAGCTGTTAAGAAGACTAGTGACAGCAGACTGAGAAAATCTAGTGTGGAGTGATTTGTAGCATGAAAATCAGCACCAGTGTTATACTTATTTGTTGTTATGACTTGTACGTGGTCAATAAATCCAATTACCAATCCGAACCCCGTCTATAGTCACTAATAAAAACTGGATCTGTTTCCACCCTCAGGTGGGGGGTGGAGATGGAAGACACCTACTCCCTTCAGTCCATTAGAAACAGCTAACCTCAATCAGGCCCTCATCAGATATCCAAGAAGAATTTCTCCGATCATACTGACCTTCCCAATGAGCTACTAACCTCACTGCGATAAGGTGAATCCACATCACAGAAATATCCAAACTGGGTAGACTGATCACAGTGGTTAAACATGCCGTGTGAGCTAATATTTCTTGGGGAAGGAGGGGGGAATGAAAGTGAACATGCATGAAGTGGTAGCAATTAGAACGGATAAACCTATCAGTGTCGTTATATCTGGCATCTGACACAATATCAGTAATGAACTGCTACAAAAAAAAGTGAGGACAAACTGAAGTGGAAAAACTGTCAATGAAATCGAACCATAAGCATTCAGAGATACTGACAAAGGTGATAACTACAACACTATACCTCCCACAGGGAGTCTCTGAAGTTGCTTTCCTACCTGTTGAATGTTTCATTTGCCAACAGTTTCTTGCTTTACAATGAACAGAAGATTCTATAGCAGAAGAACAGAAACCATAAGATACCAATAAAATTAGTCCTGCTGTGTGTTTCAGACATAATGAACAATTTGCCCCTCGCCTTAAATGGTAATTAACCCTCATCCAATATGAAGGAATGCCTCACTGAACATCTACTACAATCAGAACAGCAACAACATGGATTTTATTGTGTGCTCAAATGGAGAAGTGAAAGCTGGAATATGGAAAACTTGTATATCAGAAGGCTTGGGCTACATCCAGAAGAATGTTTTCAAAAGTACCACATGCTGCAACATTTCTGCTACAGAACACGATCTAAAGATCTGATCATAACAGGGAATACAAGTCTGTGGTGCCAAAAAGAATTCTTTGGGATTTTTGGCAGCCCTTAAAAATGTGAATACCAAACAGATACATAACGTTTAATTTTAAACATATTCTGTGGAAGGTAAAGTGCAGAAAACAATCTGAAAGGTAAAGGGTAATGAATACAGTATGTCATCAACATACAGGAACACTTAACAAAAGACATTCATCAAACTGTTATTGTCATAACATGAAAATAGGAATTCTTCTGTCTCATATAACAATTCTATAGTCAATGACACCAACCTTCTCCATGGAAGGCGTCTCCTCTTGCTGTGACAGTTCTCAACCCAATCCTTGCACACAATATGCCCTTTCCCCCAGACCTGCTGGAATTTTGGTGTGTTAGGAAATGCACACCTGGAACACCACATTATTCAGATCCATGAGCAACAAAAGAAGTAACAAAGTATACTCACTTTGGCATAAAATATTTTCAATTTAAAATTTTGTAACCTTTTTTATTTTTTGTAATGTATATCTGGCCCATTTAAACAACCATGCCCTAGTAATCAAGCTTCTTCTTATACATATTTTTTTTCATTTCTAATTCATTCATATACTCGTATTTATAGTCAAAATATCCTCTTCATCACTTTCCTCCTCACAGTGAGAGACAAAGTTTCATAACCACACAAAAAAAAGAACAGAAATATAGTTCTAGACACTTCAGTCTGTAGCAATTCACAAAGAACTTGTCTGAACAGGCTGTAACATACTGCAGTTCATTAGTTCTAGCAACATTATATAATGTACATAGTATTATTTTTTTTTATTGCTACTGAGGGTGTTTGAGAACAGGGTGTTGAGGAGAATATTTGGACCAAAGAGAGATGAAGTGACAGGAGGTTGGAGAAAACTCCATAATGAGGAGATTCATAACTTTTACTCTTCTCCAAGTACAACTAGAATGATCAAGTCAAGGAGGATGAGATGGGCAGGTCATGTAGCACAAATGGGGGAGACAAATGCGTATAGGATATTGGTGGGAAAGCCAGAAGGAAAGAGACCACAGGGAAGACCTAGGTGTAGGTGGGTGGACAATATTAGAATGGATCTTAGAGAGATAGGATGGGATGGTATGGATTGGATATCTCTGGCTCAGGATAGGGACCAGTGGGGCTTTTGTGAACACGGTAATGAACTTTTGGGTTCCATAAAATGCTGGGAACTTCTTGAGTACCTGCAGAATTGGACTCTCCTCCAGCAGGGCTCAGCTCCATGAGTAAGTAAGTAAGTAAGTAAGTAAGTAAGTAAGTAAGTAAGTAAGTAAGTGGGGTGGGACCAAGTCCCTTGTACTGCCGCCACTTCTGGCCTACTGTACCAGCCCCAGAGGATAGGTGAGGGTGATTGTGGAGTAATTGGTGGAATGAATATTGGCAGGAGAAACCGAAGTACTCGGAGAAAACCTGCCCCAGCGCCACTTTGTCTACCACAAATCCCACTTGACCAGACCTGGGATCGAACCTGGGCCGCCACGGTGGGAAGCCAGCGACTAACTGTTTGAGCTATGGTGCAGCCAATGTACAAAGTAACACACTCAAGATGTAAAGCATGACAAATTTTGAGTATCGCATACTGCAGCCACAACAGCTCTACCATGTTTCCATTTTCTTTAGGGTTACTTTTCCCTTCACTGCCTGGCCCAAAAGAGCCCTGGAGGCAAGCCTGCTCCCTGTTCAATTCATACTGCAGTCGGTACCATAACAGTGACCACATACCTCAAGCTAACGCTCAGATTGAGTACAGGAGATAAAACATCACAGTTACACAACTACACTCATTCTGTAGGGACCAGGTTAACATTTCAGCCCTGCAAATGACTATACTAAGGCTTTTCATGATTTTACTCAGCCTTTCAAGTTAAATGCTGAAAGATCATCTCAAATTCAGCCATGTCTGTTACCTTCCAGCACACTGTGCTGTGTCTGTAATTGGTCTTGTAGCTGTTGACTCAGCACATAAATAATAAAGAATAGAATTAAACTGAATTATTATTGCTCTACAGCCCCTTATTGGGCCTTAGCCGCCTTTTCAGTTTCTTGATTCTGTACACTGTCAGTAGGGCTCTTGGACAGGGTTATCAGCCTGTCACAAGGCCTCTATCTATAGAGAGAACACAAAAACAGAATAAACACACACAATACAGACATCCAGTTCTGGCATTGGATTCGAACCCATGATCCCTGCATTTGAGTGAGCAAACACAGTTCATGCCTTAGACTGCGCAGCCTCTGCAATCAGAACCTTTACCTTTACTACATATTAATGAGTAACCCAAGTATCTTCAAATTTTACTGCAATATTACTTGCCATGTTAGTGCTGCAAATCACAGAAATTGTATTTGTAAAAACGAAATCAAAAGCCTATCCTTGTAGACTTCTTGTTAGGGACAAATTCTATGGTTAGGCTTTGGGTGTTTTTTTTTTTTTTACAAAATAAACTTCTACAGTTGGCAGCAAAAGCACGGCTGACATAATAATTTTAAACAACTTGGACAAGATTTGCAGGTATCTGAAAAATAAACAATGTTATGAATTTTACCTCCAAGCTCCCACACACCTTCATCATCGATGATGCTTAAGCAAAGGCATAATTTAACTTTAGCCTTTTCATTGGGCATCACAGTAAATCTCCATGAACTGTAGATGACAGTAAATAAATGTGTAAACAGGCATCACACTTCAGTTGCACTATTCCTGATGAAGGAAATTACAGAACCCATTTAGTACAGCTACTTGTAACATGTTTTTGGACATTATCCATCATCTTGCCTATATTTAAAAACCGTCCTGTTTATTTCTCAAAACAAGTTTTGGAAACTGGATTCTGTCTCTGTCCTCAGGTAAAACCTACTCAGTTGGGCACAATAGATAGAGCTAGTCCACCTATGCCACTTTCAAGATCTTTTGATCTTATTTCCATTTAGTACAGACTGGATGGGCCCAACGGTTGTGGCAAAGGGAAAAACCAATGCCTGTACATAAATTCAGAACAATCACTGTAATGACTGGGCTACCCATGGACCATCCCATAATTATTATTATTATTATTATTATTATTTGGAGGGGGTGGGTTTCCCCATGCACTGAGACCAGTTGTTGATCTATTGTGCGTCCCCCTTTAATTTCTACTGTCATCATGCCCTTCCAGTACTGGTGCTCGCTATCAGCCCCGTTCAGCCAGCGAGGCTGGCAGTGGTACCCGATACTTCCCCATCTACTGGAGGCATTGGAAACTACTAGGGCAGGAAACTTTGCCTAATTTTGCTCAGAGGTCTCCTAAAGACATGAGGATCTTTTACGCACCGTAAATCTACGACACGGGACCCACGGCTTAAAGTCCCTCCTGGAGGACTTGTTCCCTGAATTTTTCCATCCTTAAAAATTCCACGACCTCCGCCAGGTTTGAACCCGCGTACCTTGAGTCATGAGTTGGGAACGTTACCCCTAGACTACAGAGGCCGCTATCCCAGTGATTAAGTGTGAAGACATATATTGCTGACACAGAGAGACCTATCTCTCTTCCATACACTGCAATGATCTCAGCAACTCACACCAGATGTGTGCATGAGCTGTCCCAGTCTGACTTGTAGCGTGCGCCCATCTCAAGAGCCATCGTGCGCAGGTTGGCCCGGTGCGGGTTCTGGTACCCACTGATTACTAGCGTGACACCTTCCAGCAGCCTTCCAAATGGTTTTCCAAGAGGTCTGGGCTTCTTTACAACTGGTTCTTCTGTCTTCTTAGCTTTTGAGTTGTGACGTTCTACACAAAGAACATACTGTAAACTGCTCGTGCTCCAGGGAACATCTTTCATACCAAATGGGTTGCTTTAACGGTACTGCTCTAAATCCATATTCAGAAGACACTCAGTTTGAATCTTGGCTAGAATGGCAGGACGATGCATCAATTTAGGCAATGGCCACTTCCTTCCAATTCATCATTTATCTATCATCCTACTATTTGACACTATATAGTCTAGCTATTGACAGTGTCATAAAATAACCACTGCAAAACTGCTCCAAAATATTTGGTGGCAGTAAATATACTCTACAGAAGTATGAAACACAAGCAATAAATGCAGATGCAGACAATGGCTACCTACTGGGAAAATTGTGGAAAATGTTACAATAAAAATCCTATGAAGTACCCCATTTCTGTAACTCTATCACCATTCCAATTTGATAATTTATACCTACAGAATCAATCCATAACATTTTCATGCTAGAACTGTGTCAGTCTTTGAGTATATGATATATTATTATTCATAAAATTTCCATTTCATAATAATGACTCATTCACCTGGAAACTAAACCTTAAGGTTCTTCGAGATGGAAATAAATCATTATGAGTGCCTGCTATAAATTCTGATGATCCAATTTTACAGAATACACAAAGCAGAATGGAAGATTTCTTGCCAGTGACTGGGTTAACACTCTAACAACATGACCTTACCTGAATTTTCACCCCTGGCTTTCTGAGTACCATTCTTTTGAGAAACTTCTTCTTTCAGTTTCAGAGGTTTTGCCTTTTGTACTGGTTTGTGCCTTGCAAGAGAAGCTGGTGATGAAGCTTCACGAATTGCTGCTGCTCCTATGGGCAGGTACATTAACTATGAACATCATACACAAAATTTGCAGCTCCTTTTCTACTAGTGTTTGTGGTGTGTCTTAATAGGCCAGTGATCAGCTCTGTGGCTATGAGGAAACAGGTCCACTTAAATCTATGGTTCATGAAGATGCATTATATAAAGTGGCATGTAAAAAAAGGAGCTCAAGATTTTCACAGCAACATAATATATAAATTATTTCTGGGTAATAAGCCATGTCAGATAAACATAAAAAGGCTTTACTGGTTTCCAAAACATAAGCTTATTATGCTAATGCAACGGTGCATTCATTGCAAGCACATTTTGTTACAATGTCTAATTCTGTATAATATCAGCAGTTCCACCAAGTATCACTTCTTATTTATGTATTTATTTACAGTTTATTTAACGATATGATCAAGAGCTGAGCACACAGGCTACTGAATTGAATAACTGGGCAATTACTTAACAATAAATCAGGAAGGTAACAGAAGAAATGGGTCATGGCCTAATCTGAAAGTATTAGCCTAGCATTTTCTTGGGAAACTGAAGAAAACCACAAAACACCTTACCTGTAATAGATGGTCTTCAGGACAAAATCTGAACCTGAGACTTTCTGAATATGAACCAAAGGGGAATCAATTAAAGTGCAAGATTTAGTATAAAGAATTACTGCTTAGAATATGTCAATACTGAAGATCGGGAACAGCCATACGTCTAAAAGGACAGACAACCAGTTCCTTCATGGCTGCACTGTGCAAGATCAACAGAATCACATAATACACTGTAGGCCTAATTGTGCTAGGTAACCTCCTAGCTGTAATAACTTACCTCTCAAAGGCTGTGTCTCAACGTCTTTCCGTCGTGCAAACAGACTCCCGGCACTGATGGAGTTCAACTCATCATTGTCATCCTTCACAAGAAAACGCCCAAGCTTGTTGCTCAAAGCAGCAGGTTTATCTTCAGTGGTCACTGAGTGAAATGTGATGAATGCCAAACCATACTGTACATGCTTGTTAAACGGCTGTGTGCACACCACTTTCACTCTATCCCACTTCTGCTCTGCCTCTGGCTTGGATAATTTGTCTGATGTAAACATACGCACCCGGTTGGGATTACTACCACTGCGTGCTTCCATCGGCGACATGAATGATGATGCAACCAACAATACCTAATCAACATCATGCCCAATTTTAGTCACTGTACAAAATAAACTGCTGAATGTTAATTTGTTAGTTCTTAGTTCTAAGAGACACAAATTCAAAGGGAGTATTTTCAGTGGTGTCAATGTTATACCAATAATCAACAATTTTTTCTATGAGCATTTTACCACTTCAGCCAGGATAGCGCAGTCGGTATAGCGACTGCGCTATCCTGGACAACCGAGGGGTCAGAGTTTGAGTCCCGGTGGGGGCAAGAATTTTCTCTTCTCCAAACCGTCCAGACTGGCTCTGGGGTCCACCCAACCTCTTACCCAATGGGTACTGGGGATTCTTTCCCCGAGGGTAAAGCAGTAGAGGCGTGAAGCTGACCACTCACTTCCAACTAGTGCCGAGGTCAAGAAAATGTGGATCTATACATCCACCCCCATACACCTTCATGGTGTACTGCTTAATTAGTTAAGCACAGAAACAACTTTACCTTTACATTACCACTTCACTTGGCTGCTGATCAGCCATCATAATAGCACAAGTACTATTGTGCCAAATGCACATTTACCAATTGTTACAACTTCATCAGGTAGCTGGAAATGGGCAGATACCAAATGTCTAAAATATGGGCTTCTGCCCTCTTTCAGGTAACCAACTGCATTTGGTACAACAGTGCATGTTCACTAACAAAGGCTCATGCTTAAGTACTCAGAGACAGCACTAATTATTCAGGTAGACGTCCCTGGACTTAATTATGTGACTAAGCCCTATGCCATAAAGGCATATGGGGAAGTTGAGGTACAGAGTAAGAACGTAATTACACTTGACACTGTTCTCTGAAAGTCCATTTATAATAAACTTGAAGTACCTCAAACCCCAAATCAGGTGTACTTGATCGACCAACCAACACTTCAATAAATGCACTGTTTTCATTTCCAACATCGACAGAAGTAATGACGGCTTCTCTTTCTAACTGGAGAACGACAGAGGCCTGCTTCTCTCCTGCATTTTTACACTTCCAAGTCTTGCTATCACAGCTCAAGAGATTCGCCGCTGGGTAGTTCTGTTGAAATCAGGATAATACAGTACTGGGTTATGTGGTTACGACTAATCAAGAATACAACAATCTATCAAAGAGGTCGTTCACTTACCGAATCTTCACTACTGCAACTCACAATACGCTCGATTTTAACTGTCGGCATTTCACCTAACCAAACTCTTAAACAACATAACGCCAATGAACATATTTTACACACCGTACACTACTTCTCCACAATTCTTACAACCGCTCATAAACTTCGCACAATCATTTGTTCCAACGGTGCTTTCGAAAAGTTCCAGTCAGCCGTGGCAGGAATTATACCCTCTGGTAAGCAACTCAAAGGCAAAGATATTTACAACATACGTTTTGTATTTTTCTGTTACAGAGTGCTGAACCATTCGAAAGACTAGCAAGTGTACAGTTTCCCACCACGACGGCCCGGGTTCGATCCCGAGTCTGGTCAAGTGGGATTTGTGGTGGACAACGTGGCGCTGGGGCGGGTTTTCTCCGAGTACTTCGGTTTCCCCTGCCAATCTACATTCCACCAAAATGTCCATCATAATCACCTGGGGCAGGTACAATAGGCCATTCAGTGGCCGCCGTGCCGAGTGGACCCAGCTGGACTCCACCCCCCCACTAAGAGAATTTAAAAAAAGTGCAATTACTAGGTTGGGCACGCGATAGCGTACTTGGTTGAGGGGCTACACTACAAGACGGAAGGTCGCGGCTTCAAGTCCCGATGAGGTCATTGGATATTTTTTCAGTTGACCTAATCCTTCCAGCCGCACTAGGCCCTGGGGTTTACTCAGCCTCTAACAGAAATGAGTACCAGGAATTACTTAAATAATTTTCCAGGGGAGTAAAGCGCGGCCGGCGCATAAGGCTGACAACCTTACCGCCATCTTTAAGCCGATTGTTTAGATAGTGTGGGACCCTCAACATCTCACAACCCTATGGGCCTTCACGGCCTGGTACAGGGATAGCTTTACTTTTTACAATTACTAGCGGTCTTACGTAATGCATTGCGTATTAAACACAAAAACAAATATCATAATCAGGAGCCGAGGCATGTACAAACATTTAGAAAACCAAACACACGCAGTATACACAAAACAGATTTACTGTAAACGCATTATTTTCACATAAAATTTATTTATACATGTCAGATTTATTTCACAATACATCACATTTCTTTCATGGAAACTATAGGGTAAATGTACAGGCCCTTATTTCATATACTAAAACCAACAAGAAATGACGACTAGGCGACAGAACTGAATTCCCGTGGTCGGTCCGTATTGGTTTTAGAGCACGTTAACAGTCTTTAGTTGTGCAGTGTAGATCCGTTCGTATGTCGACGTTCCTGGAAGATAATATAATTATGTGCAGAATTGTTTTTTAAACACAAGATTAACTTTCACTCAGACATACATATTATTATGAGTATGGCATACGAGTATATTATAGTATTTTGATGTGCTGTGCATATCCAACGTTTCTACGATTTTGAGTTAAACTTCAAATTTGTTGTAATCTCTTTATATAATGTTAAGTATACACTTAGCTGCATTCGTAACAATAGACAACATGAGTTCATTTCTTCATTATTTTATTCAGTTTCGGTGCTACAATATACATAATTCTATGACAATTATACATTTGCTACATTACGACGTGTATCGGCTACCATTTTTTTTTTTTTGCTATCATCGTTTAGTGCTTATACAGTCACTCTCAACGCACTAAGCTATTCCTCCTCCATTGGCCAATGTTTGTAACTTGGGGGGGGGTCACATTGTCTAAATAAAATAAATATAGAAATAGCAATAAAATAAGAATAATAATTAACCATCACTGGTCTAATTTTAACTGGTTCAAAATTGTTCTATTTTAACTTAATTAAACCAAAGTAGCGATTTTAAGGCGGATGCAACATAACGCATACTCTTCGGAAAACTAGTACAAAGGCTGATATAATTCAAATTATTTAAGTTAAACTAAAAACCCTACATTTTAAACAATATTATGACCCCCAATTATAAACATTGGCCAATGGAAGGGGATTAGTGAAGTGAGTTGAGAGTGACTGTGTAAGTACTACATGAAGATGGCCAAAAATAGTGGTCGAAACATATCGTAATGTAGAAAACTGTATAGTTGTCATAGAATTATACATATATTGTGAGACTGACACACAATATGACGCTAAAATAAAATATTACTCATTTCTTGTAATAAGAATTGTATCGACTGGTTCAAATACGAAAATGCTTCCCGGCGTTCTTAAAATATCACATTTCTTAGGCGCGAAATTATTTCTTCGGTATCGATTAGGTGAAAACAGTATTACAGGGCAAATGTTACAGTTTAATTGGGAATATTTGGGTTTTTGCCACGCAGAGCAATACGATTCGAGACTTCTCAGAGACGAAATGTATAAATGTGATACAGTTCAACAAAACAAAACACTAAATACGGATGCTGCATTTAATGAGACTCGAACTGTGAAAATGTTATTCGAAATATTCACAAAGCTGCAGTAAGAATAAAAAAATTCCTGAGTTTGATTTGTTTCATTCTGGTCCGTCACACTAACAATTACAAATATAAATCACTCCGTCCAATGTGACCTGTAAGTTTTTTACTATATGAAAACTTAACACCCTTACATGTTTCGGTCTCTGTGGACCATCTTCAGAGGGCAAACATCACTACAAATAGGAAACCACCATCACATAAGTTGTTTAGACGTAAAGTACGTACACTTATATGTTACAATACATAGTACACAAAATAGACATTTCACATTTTCCAAACACAGCAGTTTCCTGGGAATGTAAAGTTTTTTATAAAATTGCATAAACTTTCTTGATGCTAATTAAAAATTTTTTGGATTGTCAATAATTAAAATTCGTAAACCATGCAGGTTCGTGTTCGTCCTCCTATCGTCCCTCTTATATGGGGCAGATAATGTGCCACCTGGCTATCTTGATGTGGAGGTCCTTTATATCGTCCAGGCTTAGCTCGTGGCTGCTGTGTTGTTTTCACTGTTTTCACAGAGACCGAAACATGTAAGGGTGTTAAGTTTTCATATAGTAAAAATCTTACAGGTCACATTGGGCGGAGTGATTTATATTTGTAATTCCTATCATTATCGAAACAAAAAATATTATAGTTTGTACACCGTGCAGAAACCGTCCTGTTTATTGTTTTTCTTATATTTTAGACCTCTATTTACGTCTTGGGTGTACAGTAAGTGAAAAAAAGTTATGAGCCAAAAGGATTCCGGAAACAGAAGTCTGAGGAACACTGATGCAAGATTGGGCTGTCAGAATTGTCACTACCGGTCCACACATCCAATTGCCCGTTCCTACTATTTATTGTCTCCCTTTCTAGAATTGAAAAAAAAAGTTATAATTTATTGATTGTGTGCCTATGTCTGATCATGTTGGGCATTTTTTTTTCTGTGACATTTCCCTTTCTAACGAACTGATGAGAACCGGCTCTGGCACTAAACCCCACTTGCGTTCCATAAAACATTAACTAGTTATTGCTCCAAAGGCTCTTTTTCTGCGAAGCAGAATGTAATGTTTTCAGTACCTTTCGATGTTTAACGACGTCAACATAGCGAATGGCACTGGATGGGATGCAAGGCCCCCTGCTCCACACACCTCCTGATGCAGCTGGGGCTGCGTTTCATCACTGTAACACAACATGAACAGTGTTAAACAGAGCGCCATCTGTGAGAAGCACATTCAGATAATGAGCCATTATTTTAGGGCCTTGACAGTCAATACAATAATAGCACTAATAGTAAGAATTTATTGAAAAAATATTTAAACCATATGCACTGTAATTCGTCGCCTTTAATAATCGATTACAGAGCGTATGGTCTGTTTCTTCCATTAGCGTTCACTCATATGGAGTCATTTCAGTGTACTCTGAGACGTAATTACTTTGCATCTATATGACTGTGGTGAAAACATTAATTGAATTGAAATGGCAACATCACAGCGCCTGCGCTCTGTTTGTCCCCATGCTCTTACTAAATGTCAGCATTTCCCAGATTATGTTCCGCGGAAACCTAGTGTTCCGGAAAAGGAGCATAAGACTAAATGTGACACCAGATTTGAGAATTCACTTTTCCAGTATCGAGACGAAGATAAAAATAATTTCTGAAGAAAAAAGAAAATTGCATTTGGCCTATTATTTTTCAAGCTTCATTTTTCACATATATGAAACCTGATTTGTTTCTACCGACAACCAATTAAATAATACATCATGCCGCAGTTTTAACATGTTGTTACTGTTATAATCCTTGCGTATTTGTGGTCTAGTTTTCAGCTCCACATATAAGAATATCATTGGTGGTTCCGCAAACATTTTACGAGTGCCAAATTAAATCTGTAAATGCTGACGTAGGTATATTGTATACTACGCTCTAAATTGAAATTTGTCAAAAACGTTTTCCAAAAAGGTGAAGAAGTAAGAACAACATTACTACTACTACTACTACTACCAGTAATCACTCACTCACTCACGGAAATGAGCCCTTCTTGAGAAGCCGCCAATTGTGCAGCTACTCAAAAACTTCCCAGCATTTTATAGAATCCGAAGGTTCATTGCCGTGTTCACAAGGGCCGTCCACTGGTCTCTATCCTGAGCCAGATCAATCTAATTCATACCATCCCATCCAGTTTAGTATTGTCCACCCACCTACGGCTTGGTCTTCCCAGTGGTCTTCTAGCTTTCCCACAAATATCCCACATGCATTCCTCTTATCCCCCATTCGTGCTACATGCCTTGCCCACCTCATCTTCCTTGACTTGCTCATTCTAATTATACTTGGAGAAGAGTACAAGTTATGAAGCTCCTCATTATGCAGTTTTCTCCAACCTCACGTCATTTCATCTCTCTTCAATCCAAATATTCTCCTCAGCACCCTGTTACTACTACTACTACTAACAAGAATAATAATAATAACAACGACGATGGAAGTGACGAATGTTGCGTTATGATACTACAGTCTGAATGGATATAACCAAATGAATATGAATACGGTAAAGCTTCCATCTGTGATAACCTACAAACGCTTCTTTACACCGACCACCCTAGACGCCTGAAAAGACCTAGACAAACTTTGTTCTGTCCCGGACGCAAAAAGTCTTGCGCATATCCAGGACTTCTCTGGCAACTGCTGGGAAGAATTGTGTATAGAACTCTCGATTTCAAAAGTGAGGTCATGAATTTGTTGTGTACAGTCTTTTACAGGGAAACGATATATGTTCACGGAAGGATTCCCTGTCAACTGTACTTATCATTTCACATATTC